TCGATGCTCCGGCTTCACCATCCAAACTTTTCGGTACCTCCGTCGAGACGGTGGTTGAGAAGTTCAGGGAGGCGAAGGTGTGCTCAGCGGCCTTCAAATCCTTCATTCCACGAAGGTCCAGGTCTGAACCCGAGCAACCCAGGGGTCCTGGCCCGTCTCGATCTGAGGATCAGAGACGGGCACAGAAGGCTAGTGTCACGGCTCGCGCTCCTCCCCTGTCTGCGGGTAGGGGTAGGAGGAATCGCGGGTCAAAGGGAGGTAGGCAAGACCTAAAGGATGTGATCCAGATGAGGCGTCAGCGCTTTCGTCTACTCATTTCCCTCAGGGGGTTTAACATCTGCCCTTATCTTCCCCTTCCTAATTCCCCTGTAATCACCATCTCTCCACCTGACCGAGGTTAGGTAGGAACTTCCTGCATTACAGTCTCCTATGCTGGACCTATGATGTTTCGATTGGTTCTATGGCTTCATAGTAACCACCTTACTGATGGTCCGGACTAGAGGCTTCTTCGGGTCACTTCTTGAACGGGGCTCCTGCGCGGGAACCATGGTGGGTGAGTACGATCCATTTTTATTAAAAATATATATTTAATACGCTGGTGGTTGTGTGTATTCCATCTGCGAGCTTTCTTTGCAGTGTTTTCCAGGACCTGTGTGTTTCTGTCCTTTTCTAGGTTAGGTCCTCGGTGAGCAACCCCTCTGCTGGATTCAGAAACCGGGTTCTCGACTTGCAGTGATTACCTCACTCGTCGATGTTGTATCCAGTCGTTATGATAGCCCTGATTCCGGCTTCATGCTTCCTGGATCATGCGGCCAGATCACAGGCTTCTGCGGGAGCCTTCTTGATCATCAGGCCCTCGGCACGGCAAAATTTCCTGGACGTCCGGGCTCGGCTTATGCTTTCAGGCTGCCCTGTCTGGTACGCTGTATCTAGGTCGCCCTGAGGGGCTTCCTGATCACCAGGATATCCCCTCTTGCTGAGGCATCGAGCGAGAGGTATAGGTGGCATCTGCAAGAACCTTCTTGTGAAATGCTGTCTCAGGCCAGGCTTCTGCGGGAGCCTTCTTGATCATCAGGCCCTCGGCACGGCAAAATTTCCTGGACGTCCGGGCTCGGCTTATGCTTTCAGGCTGCCCTGTCTGGTACGCTGTATCTAGGTCGCCCTGAGGGGCTTCCTGATCACCAGGATATCCCCTCTTGCTGAGGCATCGAGCGAGAGGTATAGGTGGCATCTGCAAGAACCTTCTTGTGAAATGCTGTCTCAGGCGGTGCTCCCCTCGTATCAGAGGGTTATCTTTGAGCTTGCCACTCCTGTTTGGCTCTGTACTTCTAGGCATCTGTGAGCAGATGCTTGGGAAGCTCTTAAATCCATGCTATGGTAAGTACACACGCTAAGCTTTGTGCACTTTCTGAAATCCACATGGTGGTAAGTGTGCACGCTGAGCACTTTGCAAACTTTCTAAAATCCACATAGTGGTAAGTGTGCATGCTAAGACTCTGCGCACTTTCTGAAATCCTGTATGGTAAGCGTTGCGCGTTATTAGCCTTGTTCCCTTCCTCTGAGTTGGCTTAGACCCCGGTACGTGCCTTGGGCTTCACTCAACCAGTGTGTCTCTGTTGACACACTTTTGAAGCATCGCTCCCCTCACCATTGAGGGTTATTGTGAGCATGGTGCTTTCTTTCGAGCATTTGAATTCTCTCCCTTTCTGAGGAGTTGGATTCCTCACTCCGTGGGCTGTTCTCGTGGTAATGTTTAGCAGTGCTCCCCTTTATCAAAGGGTTGCCTATGAGCACGCTACTCCTTTCTGAATTCGGCGTTCTCCTCTCACGTGAGAGTTGAGTTCTCTGTTTTCCCAGAGCATCTGGAACCGGCAACATCAGGCGAACTAGGCCCTTCCTCTGCCTCCCTGGTGCGCTGAGTTTTTGGCTAAGCTTGCAGTGCGCTTACCCTTCTGATTTCTAACGAACATGCTGTAGGTCAAGCCCCCTCTCGACTGAGAGCTGGGTGTGTTGCTCCCTCAGCTAGGTAACTTACTGCTAGCCATTCCAGCATTTTACCATAGATCGAGCTGATGGCTTCTCAAACATTTTGTTCTGGTGATGTACCATTTCCATCTATGGGCTGCTCTTTCAGAGTGCCACAAGAGCATTTGAGATGGGTAAAGAAGTCTAGGAAATACATTCATTTGAATAGTTTCCACCCAACCCAGAAGAGATAAAAGAGTGGCTGACCACCATTGCAGATCATTATAGATAGATTTGATTAATTTATGGTAGTTGGCTACATATACATTTTGTAATAAAGGAGGTATATTAATCCCTAGGTACTTGATGCCCTCTTTGGGCCAATTGAAGCCACTCTGTTTTATCACCCTCTCAGAAATATGACCACCGACATTCAATGCTTCAGCTTTGTCTATATTTACTCTGTAGCCTGAGTGATATCCGAAGTCAACAATTAATTTTTGGAGTTGGGATATTGTTGATTGAGGGTTTCTCATCTCATCGTATAGTGAGATTTTATGTTCCTCTCCTCCTATAAAAACACCATTTATGACAGCACTTGAGCTGAGCAAAAGGCTCTATGCTTATAGCAAATAATAATGGGGAGAGTGCACAGCCCTGTCTACAACCACACTCTAATTTGAAAGACGCTGATTTACAACTATTAAGTCTAGTAGAGACTTGTGGGTTGGAATATAAGATTTGTACCCATTTAAGAAAATTAGAACCAAAATTAAAATGCTCCATGGTATGAAATAAAAACTGCCACGACACTTGATCAAAAGCTTTGTACGTTTCTAATGAGATGATTGCTATCTGATGAGATGATTGCTATAACTATATTTAATAGTCTGCGAATGTTGTCACCATAACACCTCCCTTTTATAAATCCAATTTGATCTGGATTTATAATATTAACAATCACCTCATTTAATCACTGAGATAAGATGGCTGTCAAAATACAAAGATCTCCATTTAGTAAGGAATTTGGCCTATACGGCTGACATAATGTTGGATCTATGCCTTCCTTATGAATGACGACTATAGTTGTATCATTCAATGAGGGGGCCAAAGTACCTGTTTCCAGGGCTGTATGATATGCATTTAATAAAATATGGGGAAATAATTTTTCTAAATATATAGTAAAATTCATTTGAATAGCTATGGGCCCTGGGCTTTTGTTATTTTTACTACTAAAATAGCAGTTGTGCTTTACTGTACTATATTCGTGGATTGTTGTTTTTTCAGACAGTAACCTATTTGCTCTGTTGCCATGTTTATAATAATTTTGCTTAGCAAACCTCAGCCTTCCTTCGATCTTACTAGAGAGTAATGTATTTAATTCTTTAAGTGCCGTGATCAGTTCAGTTAATATTGCACTATGTGGTTTATGTTGTTGCTCTAATTTCATAATGGCATTTTCTAATTGTTGCTGTCTACGTTCAAGTTCCCTTTTTTTGCACTTGTAAAATCAATTATATGCCCTCTCAGATAGGCTTTAGCACAATCACAATAATATTAATGGAGATATCTCTGTGGTATCATTAGTATCCAGGTAGAGCTGTAATTCATCTTTTATAAATTTGATAAATGTGCTATCATTGAGCAAACATGTGTTAAATCTCCACTGCCTGAAAATTGGTCTATAACCATCCCACTAAGAGTGTTATGGGCAGTGTTTTAATATCTGTTACTCTATATAATTATGATACAGGAGAGAATAAATAATCAATTATCGAATATGATGAGTGTCTGAAAGAAAACAAATGTGAAATCTTGCTTATTTGGGAACCTTTGTCTTCACACATCCACTAGGCCAATATCCTTAAGTTGTCCATTTTACTTATTTTAAGGAGAGGGGATTGAGAAGTTGGTTGCTTATCCAGATATTGCGACAAAACACAATAAAAGTCTCCCCCAACAAAAGGATCCCTTTGCTATATTGCAAAATAACACCGAAGACAGTTTTTATCAAATTTGGGTCGCCTTCATTTGGAGCATAAACGTTCATAAATGAAACCTCTGATCCATTAATAACTCAATTTACCAGAACAAATCTGCCTTCCGAATCTTAGAATAGAAACTCCTCTCCTCTTTCCTGATATATGGGATGAGTGAAAAGCCTTATCAGCCCAAGATCTGACAAATGTGTTTCCTGAAGAAATGGTATCTGACACTGAAGTTGTTTAACTTGATTTAAAATATGTTTTCGTTTAATAGGACTATGAAGACCATTTAATTTTACATTATAACTTATTATCTTAAGTGAGCCTATTGTCTTATTTAAGATATTGAGGAGAGATTTGGAAATGGAATTACTGAGAGGGGTAGCAATATGTGCGTATACAGATAAAAATATGTGATTGTATGTGTATACGCACACAAGAAAAGGTAAAAAAAATAAAAATAAAAAGGGGGGGCAGGGAAGGGGGAAGAAAATACGTACATTTGACATTAGAAACAGATGATTATGTTTCAGGGCCCACCAGAACTATTAAACAGCTAAGCATGAACAAATCCCAAAAGGAACATGAAATTTAACAAGAGGGGAAATGTCCCCTAAATAACAGAAAAATGCAAAAACAGTGTTTGCTTGGCCTCTATACCTTTACCGTAGATACTCTCCTAGCGGCCATATATCTACTACCGACGTTACTGGCCTAGATTTTCGGTTAGATCTACAGTAAGTACCCTTAAGCTCCAGCAGTGGCAAAATTTCACATAATTTTAATATTTTAAATGGACATGAGCATTAACATTACTTTGGGATCTGAGTGCCTTAATCTACCACCCATGTTATATCAGACCATGGATATCTACCTAATCTGTAAATCAGTTAATCACTCAATAGCAGTTCTAATGTCCATGTGCCAGTCATTCACTTATTTGACACTTGTCCTGTCCAAAGGATAGTTATAAGTTTGCTCATCTTTGGACACTGAAACACTCTTCCACTCAGCTGCAGACCTCTAGTCCATAGAACAGTTATTACTCACTTGCAGATCTCTGCATGCTAGCAACAATAGTGTATGTCACAAACTCCATGGCTTTATCTGGGTCTGTAAATTCTCTTTTGTCACCAATGAATATGATTCGTAGCTTGGCAGGGTAAATTAAGCCATACTGATCATTAGGTCGGTTATGAATCCGCTTCTTCACTTCAGTGAACGCCGCTCTGGCTTTTGCAACATTTGCTGTGAAATCGGGAAAGATGTCTATCGATTGACTGTTGAACTGTAGCTGTGCCAGCTGTCGCACTTTCTTCAGAATCTGCTCTCGGCCTTGATAATAATGCATGCGAACAATGATGGCTCGTGGATTCCCACCTGGTCATCTCAGTGACAAAGTGCGATGGGAGCGATCAACTCGCATCTCTCTTTCACTTTTAAGCACCTCTCGAAGCTATTTGGATACCTCTGTTGTACTGCTCCAGCCTGGTGTTTCAGCTACTTCCACAATCCGCACGTTGTTTCTCTGCATCCTTCCCTCTACAGGTGCATCTCAATAAATTAGAATGTCATGGAAAAGTTAATTTATTTCAGTAATTCAACTCAAATTGTGAAACTCGTGTATTAAATAAATTCAATGCACACAGACTGAAGTAGTTTAAGTCTTTGGTTCTTTTAATTGTGATGATTTTGGCTCACATTTTGGCTCACACCAAATTAGAATATGGTGACATGCCAATCAGCTAATCAACTCAAAACACCTGCAAAGGTTTCCTGAGCCTTCAAAATGGTCTCTCAGTTTGGTTCACTAGGCTACACAATCATGGGGAAGACTGCTGATCTGACAGTTGTCCAGAAGACAATCATTGACACCCTTCACAAGGAGGGTAAGCCACAAACATTCATTGCCAAAGAAGCTGGCTGTTCACAGAGTGCTGTATCCAAGCATGTTAACAGAAAGTTGAGTGGAAGGAAAAGGTGTGGAAAAATCGATTCAAGAATTTGAGTGAACTTCTCATGGAATGGATTGAGGCTGGGGTCAAGGCATCAAGAGCCACCACACACAGACGTGTCAAGGAATTTGGCTACAGTTGTCGTATTCCTCTTGTTAAGCCACTCCTGAACCACAGACAACGTCAGAGGTGTCTTACCTGGGCTAAGGAGAAGAAGAACTGGACTGTTGCCCAGTGGTCCAAAGTCCTCTTTTCAGATGAGAGCAAGTTTTGTATTTCATTTGGAAACCAAGGTCCTAGAGTCTGTAGGAAGAGTGGAGAAGCTTGTTGCTTGAAGTCCAGTGTTAAGTTTTCAGTCTGTGATGATTTGGGGTGCAATGTGATCTGCTGGTGTTGGTCCATTGTGTTTTTTGAAAATCAACGTCACTGCACCCGTTTACCAAGATATTTTGGAGCACTTCATGCTTCCTTCTGCTGATCAGCTTTTTGAAGATGCTGATTTCATTTTCCAGCAGGATTTGGCACCTGCCCACACTGTCAAAAGCACCAAAAGTTGGTTAAATGACCATGGTGTTGGTGTGCTTGACTGGCCAGCAAACTCACCAGACCTGAACCCCATAGAGAATCTATAGGGTATTGTCAAAAGGGAAAATGAGAAACAAGAGACCAAAAATTGCAGATGAGCTGAAGGCCACTGTTAAAGAAACCTGGGCTTCCATACCACCTCAGCAGTGCCACAAACTGATCACCTCCATGCCACGCCGAATTGAGGCAGTAATTAAAGCAAAAGGAGCCCCTACCAAGTATTGAGTACATGTACAGTAAATGAACAGCAATACAGTTTGCAATACAGATGTTGTCTTATGATATGATAACATGTAGCCGTTGCACTGTATCATTTCATTTTAGGCAGCGGCAGAAATGCAAGAATATTCCGTGCTGCCATCTCCACTGGTTTCAAAACTCAAAGAGGTTGGTATACTTGCAGTATATTGTCTTGTCCCGCTTAACTTGCACTGCGCAACAACACAAGCTTGTTTCTGCAAAGACTTTCAGCATGTTTACTACAAAAACGTCTGATGTGTTTACGTTTTACGTGAGAATGTGAAAAAGCTATGCTAAATCCGATCTGACCGGTCAGACTGAAACAGATTTCCAGGAATGCAATTTGAATAGGATTTCAAACCACATATGAATGTAGCTCGAAACAGATTTGCAAAAATCGGATTTCTTGTAGTTTGTTGATGTTCAGACTGTAAGGGAAACAGGTCAATTTAGCTCAAAGGGAATCATTTAAGATTTTATAATTTATCAAATTACTTAATTTAATAATTATCAAATATCTAATAAGGAACTACCTTTGTCCTAAATTTGCTACTACTTACTGCTTAGTTAATCTTGCTTCTCTATTAGTTTATAGTATTAAGTTAAGTGTTAATGTAGTACTAACTATTACTTCCTAGTTACTTGTTAATAACGGACCATTATTCTAAAGTGTTACCAGCACTTCTATCAGCGCGATTCCGCCTATCCTGCCTTCATTAACTTTAAGTTAATCGACAACAAATTGTGACTCCCGGGAAAAACGGGACATCTGGTCACCTTATCCCTACCCCTTCGGGTGCTGAGGCCATTGTTTTAGATCGCTAGGTCGCATTTTGTTAGCCTATTCAAAATTAACACTGCCTCCATGTCCGTTTCTTGGAGGAGGGAGGTAGTTTGGCAGGATTGGCTTGTAGATCCCTTCCCTATCAAATCACTAGGCCATGAATTCCCCATGCCATTGTACTTACATTTTTAGAGTTTTGCTGCCATAATGGAGTCTGACAATGTCACTGTTGAAATATTGCCCTTTTCATTAACTTAGCCAACAAAATGAATATATTATGTTAACGATTGAACCTTAAAATTACATTTCTGCCTGAGCTCTCAAAAATGCAACTTACACCATGCTTTGCTCACGAGCACCAGAAATGTGTTTAAATTTCCAATTCAATTAGTAAATTAGATTTGAGACACTAAACAATGGGATGCATACATAGTTACTTTTTGAATTTTAGGAGGTAGAGTTAAACAGGATGGAATTTAAAGAAATTCATGAAAAAGTCTAGAATACAGTTAATTTTAACATGTGAATATATGAGGTTTTCTCATGAACGTCAAATATTATTAATCTTTGTTTGAAATGCCACCTACAGAAACTTGTGTTTAATTATATATATTGTACATAGCTTAATAAAATATATTTTATATTATGGACCATGGTGGAAGAGCACAACCTTAAAACAAATAAATTACAATAAAATGTAATATTCCAGAATGCTCTGATGAAGTCTGTAAAATCACTTTCCAGAACATTCTCGTTCACCATTCCTGGCTGGTGGAACGATCAAAATCACTTTTCAGAACATTCTCGTTCACCACTCCTGGCTGGTGGAACGATCTTCCCACCCCTATCCGGAATGCTGAATCCCTGACAATTTTCAAGCGACAGCTGAAAACTCATCTCTTTCGAAGCTACTTGACTTCATCATCATAAAAAAAAAAAAAGATATCTCTTTATTTATTCCTTCTCTTTCTAGCTTGTACTTATTTGAACAATGTCTAGAAACTTGGTATTACAAGCACTTCCTGTATCTGTTTGCCTCTTTAAGAAGAATCGCTTTATTGTATGCCCCAATTGTAAGTCGCTTTGGATAAAAGCGTCTGCAAAATGACTAAATGTAAATGTAAAATGGAGCAAAAACAAGCTGGTTTACCAGACAGAAACCTTAAACAGCACACAGTTGATCTATACTTGTTCCTTTTGTCCCTGTGACTATATAGATTTTTTTTTATTAAAATGTAAAATAAAAATTTCTATTCCCGTCACTCCAATTCAACATCCAGTGGATAATATTTTCAACTAAACTGTAAATTCAAAATTCTTCTCTGTATACTTTACAATCCTGAAAGCAAAACACAACCGGTCTTTCATAAATACCAACCTCATGGGTGGTCTATCAGTGATTCATACATAACATTTACTAAAATGCATTGTACTAAAGATCCACACTTGCACAAAGAGCAGAATTTGTGCATGCAAAATTGTGCATGAATTCAGTGAAAGGCATAACATTAATCATTTAGTTTTTTTCACAAGTTAAAATTAATTGTAAACACAGTTTCATTAGTCTGATTAATATTTATACATGTGTAGTTTTCAGATGTGTGTAACAGTGAAATCATCACCATGGACCATTTTGAAGTTTTACTAAGATTAGAATGTACTTGGCCTAACAAACATGTCATATTCTTGATGGCTAGTCTCTGAAATTATATGCCATGCATTTAGACCGACAATGAGAATATAATAAGGAAAATCAGTTGAGTTGAAAAACCATTACATAAGCTCCTTTGTATTAACTGCTTGTGTCCTGTAGAAAACAGTACCATGACCTTTAAAAATATTGTATGTGGGCAGTTTATCATCCCATCTTATTAATACTATAATTCAGACACATTTATCAGCCTCTAAATTATTACTCTTTTCTTTAGTATGTTTCTCCCTATTGAATTTTATTCGGCTGCCTGCTGTTAATTTGCTTCCAGGCTCACGAATTATAAAATTACAAAGCATGAACTGAATCAGAGCATCTCTTCCATCTTCCACAGCATAAAAGAAAGTACATTACTAAAGCATTCAGTATTTAACTATTATTATTATACACATTTCATAGAACATGAGTCATGTGCACTGTAAAATGTTTTTAAGTTGACCTAAAATATGCTTTGTACAGTAATATATAAATTGCTTTAACAAAAAATATATACACTTTCGATAATTTCTGGTCATTCATTCATAGCAGCTTTTCATTACTGCTGACACAGTTAGCAGAGATTAGACACTTATTCTTTAACCAAATTTGGTACCTTACCTTTTTTTCAAGCCATTGAACAGAGCCTAACTTATTTTTAATGTCAAAAAATGTTACCGCAGGAGAATGTTAAACTTACACAGCAACTACTATCACCAATGGTGTCACCAATGGACAGCTCAATCACTGAACAGAAACTTTGGCTGTACTGTAATTTAACAGGTATAAACTCCATGTGTTTATTCATGGACTGAGGAAAAAAAGCTATTATTTTTCTAATATTAACAGAACAGCACACGGGTGCAGAAGCCCTTAGAATGGTAAACATACTGAGAACAAAGAAATAGTCAAAAGCGTCACCAAAGGACCTCCCACCAGCAATTTAAAACTTCTAAACCTCATTATGCATCAGCATTCTAAGCAATAACACAAGTCCCGTCCTTTAAACACCTAGTTTGCTTAGAAATTTCCTCCTGACTGCAAGATAATTACAAGCAACGCTGCCTTACCTCAGTTGCTGTAGCAACACTCCATTAATC